TCTCCTGCCCCTTCACCCCTCACAGGCCCAATTATTCCCCTCAGCACCCTGCCCTCAAACACCCTTACTTGCTGTTCCCTGAAAGTAAGGCACCAAGGTTCATGTCGCCCATTGCAAACAACAGGTAAAATTTCAGCTGAATTTCCACACTGGAAACTAGGTCAAATTATAAAGCTGGACTCCCGCTGAGAAATGTCTGTCTGTGTGGGCGATGTGCGGGGGATTCCCCGATCGCGCTAATTACAGCTGCCCAACCGAATACAGGGCGCAGGTCGTCAGTGAGAGGATCGCGTCTGTCTGTCAGTGTGCAGTGTGTCCCAACGCCACGACGCTGCTTTGAGACCAGAAACTAACGCTCACAATATCAGGACGTCGGTGCATCCATCTGATCCCACTTCAGTAGTGGATACGCCACGCCCATATCGATTGTCAGTCATCTGCGCGTCACGGCAGAACAGATAGTGCGACGGGAAAATAATTATAAATGCGAAGATAATATTAAAAAGAATCTTATGCGTAATGGATTCAGTTTAATCTGGTAAGGTTCGAAGACGGACTGTTGTGAACGCGCTATTGAATCTTCCCGTTCCATAAAAGACAGAGAAGTCCTTTATCAGCTGAGCAGGTAGCAGCTTGTCAAAATGGACAGTGCGTCATGATGCGTCGGTTTGTTTGTTAGTTACGATACGTTTATTCTAAAACGTAAGGGGTGAGTGTCGCCTCTTCCGGAGAAAACGAAGTTACGAACAGTGACGAAGAGCCCGTCCCACACATCGTCCAGGCGTGACGTGTCGAATCGGTACGGGTCCTTGGCTCATCTCCTCGAGGTTAAATCGGCCTCAGCATGAAACAGGAAACTTCCAGCATCATCTTATGGTGCCTGGACACAGCGACGACCTGGCCCTTTTTGCAACTCAGTGTCCTATAAAGTGAGGATTACGGTCTTGAACCCATTCCTCGCGAGTTGTGGCGATAAACCGGCTGGGATCGGGAAGGAGGCGATGCGACATCGCACAGCGTGCAGTTGGCCTGCATTCCACTGCACACCACCGTTACCTGGATGCTGCGAGGTCATCGACACATCGACTGCGGGCGGCTCGATTATCCATATCGATTCATGTCGACACGCCACGTGGTTCACTCACTTATGCAGCTGCTTTCATGCTAGGTGATTTCCTTATTTTCTACAGGAGCCTAACTACGAGACGCTGTTCTTTTGACCACTCACAGCCACAAAAAATCCCATTCTTAGTGACTCCATCTTATTATGATACAAACGTTCTTGTGCTGTGAAGGCGGATGATAGAACAGAGGTTAGGCTCCATGCATTCTTAATCAGTTGTCATGGACGGTTTCAGCACGCGTGTCGATTTGAATTCAAGACCGGAATGAGTCTGAAGTATGACACGTGAGTTCGCTTCAGTCGCCTGTCAACTTGAAGTTTCCCGGTTAATGACAGGGAAAGTAAACTCTTGCTACGAAATCCGTGCCAATTGCCAGGGAAAGTTCCTCAGTCAGCCTCGAAGTTCTGTCAAAACCCGTCCATTTCTCTAACAGGCGTTTGCGCATCGAATATTTAAAACTGGGGAAAATTCTATTTACAGTGTATATTAAGAACTAATTGACATTCATGTAGCAGGACACAGAGATTAAACACAGCTAACACAAACACTTAGTACAAGACACGGTCCTGAGCCAGCTGTATCCACCACCAACCCTTAAAACAGTTTTCACCAAGATCCATCTTAATGTTATCCTCTCACTACCTTCTCCGTATCGTTCCAAGTACAAAGAACGCACAATAAGGCAAATTACGAGCTTCTGCAAAACGACGACATCTCGATTTCAAAGGGACACGACAAACGAGGAAGTCCACTTTAAGATGCTACGTCTTAATGGTCTTTCGGTGACGTAGTCTAGGAGTCCCGAGGGCGTAGCTCGAGGTGGAGGGGGGGGAACCGCATGTAGAATTTAGTAAGGGGGTCACGAAATGCACACCGAGAACGCATTACGGGTTTGTCGTGTCCGTCCGTCCGTCCGCCTAGTCGATTGAACTCGAGAATCACTGGACGGATTTGGATGAAATTTGATGTGGAGGTTGTGTCTTTCTGCACCATCTCCACTTCGTGCTTCTGAATGTCTTACTGGCGGTGATAACAGATGACGGATGAGGCAAATCTCCGGTGATGCGATCTCGTGACCAAATTGAGGAACTTTCGAACAAGGTGGATTTAATACCTCCAAATGCACGTCGCAAAGAACGCATGAGGAAAAGGGCGTACTCCGATACGGAACACAATTTCCGAGCTTGCTTCCTCACGTTACCACATTACAAAACAAGAGTAGGAATTGTGCGGGCTTATAATCGCTTCCGAATCAAACAGCCAACAGAAATATTCCGCTGATCTCGTTATGAGCCTCATTCCAAATTCCTTCTCTTTTCATTAGCGCCTGTTTTTTTTGAAGTAAATACGTCTATAAGGAAGGGTCATTTTGCAAAAAAGTGTAACGAAAAAGTGTAACAAGTGTACCTAGGGAATTTCGTGTTTGCTCGGCATTGTTGTTACCTATAAAATATTTCATTACATTACATTCATCTACCACAGACCCATCTTAAGCGTAACTAATTCAAGTTAAATAAGCAATGTCTTAATCAAACTTATCTCAATTGTAAAGCATGTACAAAGGAAATATTTAGCAGAAAGCCAATATATAAACTTCCTTTCCGTATACACGTATTTACGTCAAATTCTCCGGAACCGTGGTTCCACTGACACTTTTTAATTTGAAATGGTTTATAATATATTTATATCGTAAGCTCAGATTGGAGGATAATATTTAAAAAAAATCTTACACAAACAGAGTATGAGTGCATTCAACTGGCCCAGGGCTCCTTGAAGGGACGGAGATTTCTTGAGTCGCTGGGCGACTCTCAGCTTTTTAAGACGGAGGGATAATTAGACCTAGTTTGTTTATATTATAATTTCGATTTATATTTGCTTTTATTCCCATTTATTTTTTCGTTCTTGAATTCTCGCCCAAGGCAAAAATATTGCACGTACACAGCAAGAAGATTTAGCGCGTCTGATTCCAACCTCACAATTAATTCTCTCGCGCTTCTGTAACATGCGTGAGAAATGTGGACGTGTTAAACGATACTGTGGATTGTTAACGACGCCTTCACTGCATCAATTACAGCAGATATACACCGGCGACCATTCAAAGTGAAGGAATCCATAGTATGGAATGTCCATGGCCCATTACAACCGGCGTAAAGCTTGTCCTAACGTGGATTTGAACTTCATGAATCACACGACGAAGTCAGTGCGTGCAGACTTCAACAAACACCACACACACACACACACATCCCTCATCTTCTCAAACCCAAAATTTCAAAACCTGGTCCAGTCTACTTCACATATTCAAAGGACGTGTCTCCAACGCGTAGTAGTTGTCGCGTATCAAAACGAACACGAAATTAAGTCTGAAGAACTGAGAACAAAAGAACATCAAAGAAGTATCCGAAGATCCAAAAGATGCATTCATAATAAGCTGGGGGGAAAACATTAAGAAATCTTCATACTCATCGCCCTGATGACGGAGGCAGTATGACCTCTGAAACGTTGGTTAACATCGACCAGACTACACAGCGCAACAACCCAGAAGACAGAAATCTTCATACTCACCGCTGAGAAAGTCTCAAATCCTTTAAACGTAACCATGGAAGGTGTTAGAAATTGTTTTATTTGTTTAAATAAGGCATGAAATCAGACTAGAAGCTTGTAACTCCTCATCATACGTACAGTGCATACACAAATGTGCTTGTTGAAAGGACGTAGTTACTGAGGAAAATCATTACTACGTGCAGAAGTTAGGACGACCTTGATCAAGGTCACGCGGTCAGAATGCGAGCTACAGTTACGCTGGCTTCGTCCCAGATACGTCATAATTTTCTGAGGCTCATATGTATCAACGCTGTTGCAGTCTTGACCAATTTCAAGTGTCCTCAAAACATATCGAAAAACTTCAGCCTCGATCATTATATCAGATATCACTGAGCCGAGTGTTGAGAGATCGCCCATCAAATGGAGGATATTTTAGGTTACTCAATCGGCGCTGTAGAACGGCCAAGACAAATGCAGGCCCAACGGAATATTAGCGGCTAAAGGAGTTTCAAGTTTGCACCTTGTTGTAGGTTAAGTGTACAGGGTTCTGACTTTGGTGAGTTGATGACGAATAAAGAGGATTCTGTCAGTACTAACGTAAGTTCGTAAAGTTTCGTCACACAGCATTCGATTCACTGTTCAAGTCACAAACACACGCCGTTCCTTGTAGAATCACACGGCTCCTATAAGATTAAAATGAACTAAGTTTCCAAAACGTCTTTGTTTAAAAAGTCACATTACTCAACATCTCGGACAGTGGTCATCAGGGCTGATTCGCCGACTAGTCTTTTCGCTGTCTGCCATCTTCAGGACTCTGCTCTGAAATCACCTAAATGTAGCCCCGAGTTTAAATAAATTATCGTTCTTATTCTTGCAGTCCCTAATAAATTTTCGTAGCATGATGCTTAACTAAGCACATACATGAGAAAATTTAAATTTACCTAGAATTCAAAACGAATAACCAATCTTTGTTCGCATTTCTAAAATAAACCAAATATTAAGCAATTAATTTTAATAATTGAACCTTTACCTAACGCAGCAAATTCATACATTTACGGTTCAATACATTTAACCAAAACCTTGTTCCCCGCTGTGTCACGTTTTCTCACCTCGACATGTAACGCAAAGTTATTCAGCCAAATTCAAAAGCAGTGAATTTCAGAAGCTGCAATCTACTGAATTACGCCGTGCCCCTTCATACCCGCTTCTGCTACCCCAAAACTAATGTCTGTTCGCTTCTTTACGATATTTACAAAACAAAAGAGGCTCAACGTACATTTTAGAATTGCTCGATTGCTATGGTTACAGCGTTCTGTCTACGTTCATTTGTTTCAGAGTTATCGACAGCGCAGTCCCCCGGATACTATGGCAAATACATAGGAAAGCTGAAGACGCTACATCACAGTGTCACTGGTGAGGTGTTTGCTGTCGACGCCCGAACACTGCACATAAGAGACTTCACTTACGACGGGGAAGGTCCAGGTAATGCTACGTCAAACTTATCTACGCACGGGAGATTTTAGGGGGAAGATGTTGATGTCCTGGGTAAGAACGGAGACAGAGATGTCTCGGAGGAACATACTTTCCCCATCTTCAGGGTTCAAGCAACCAGCCCTGAAGAAGGAGGCAGTATGTTCCTCCGAAATTTTGGTACTTACCTACAAGCCACAAACTGCGCATAAAATTAACGCTTAATATTTATGTCATGTTCGTCCGTCCTTATATTTTATCTTCCGACACTTGATACATGCATTGTGAGCGTATGGTCACGTTTATTTGTAATAAAAAAGTCCGTCATTGAAAATATTGTCAGAAAAACGCATGACAAGAATAAATCACGATTCTTTATAGATCAGGTGCTTCATTCCAAATTCCATGCCGTAGTATGTCAACACCTACAGCCATGCCGTATATGGCTGCTGAAGAAGTCGACATACCAGCTTCAAGCGAGCAGGGTACAGCCTCATTCCGATTAGTTCCTTGTTTCATATGGGGCATGACGAACGCACAGAAATTTATGAGGTGGCCAGCTTTAAATAAGGCTAAAGCACTCGACGGGGATTTAAGATTCAACATTCGACAGCACAAATCAACTTTCAAGTACACATGTACTGATAACTGTGACGAGGCCCGTTGCCTTCAGTTGTTGTTGTTAACCTTGCAGCTCGGACGAAAGTTTTAGTTGGGTTCATTAACCACTTAAAGTCATTAAACCCCGTTTTGGAAAGATCGACTTTTTTTTGTTTGTTTAGATTCTTCGAGTCAACAAACATGATAGGCAGCGTACACTACTTTTTATCCCAGCACTTTTAGTGCCTGCTGCACGACCAGAGTGCGAACACCTCCCAACGGCATTAGAAAGTCACGTGCTCAAATGACTCAACGTTCTTACAAAGAAGTTTTTGTGGCGGTAATACCAACATTGCCGTAAGACGCTAACGTCTGATATCGACGTACAGACTTTCTGATTTCCCAATCGGCGGAAGAAATCAACTTCATATCGTGCAGAGTTGTCACTGAAACTCTTATAGTTGCTTAGTTAGTCAAGAAATTTAATTTATTTAAGAAACTCGAACGTTTATTGGTTCAGAAGCGAGGAGGGGCGACCGAAGACACGGACATTGCGGAGTGACGCCACTGTGCTACCTTTCGGGGTAAAGACGTAAAGCCAATAACGTTTGAAATAAGGAAACGAACTCCTATTAGTGACAGCCAAGTTCCCGGCTTCCAGGATTTTCTCCTCAACTATTACTGACCTCAACAATTCTGTCTTCGTCTCGTAGAAGAGACATGCAAATAAATTTCCAGCCTGAGGGTAATCGTACGTAGAACGCAACCGGCAATAAGGTCAACATTACAGTAAGCGAATGTGGAATTATCAGCCTTACAAACATGAGACATGTGAATGTAGATGCAACCTGTTCGTCCTAGGATTGAAATGTCACATTGTGACTATTCACAGGAATTTCCTCTAAGATATGTATCAGATTCCGTTACGAGAAGAGTTCCTTATTCAGAGTGTTCCGTTAGGGTAAGGGGTTTTTAGTTGCAAATGAGGTCAATGCGTCGAGATAATTTTCATTTAAATCTAAGTCACAAAGGCTAAATTTTAGCCTTGGAGTTAATCACGTTTAATCGCATGGAAAGCGAAATCATGAATACAATATTTGTCACTGTAATTATAACTGCGAAATTTTCATGAGACTCTTGGGTTTACGTAATCCTGAAGACGGAGGTGGTACATTCCTGCGAAACATAGTTAACCACAATTCATTATCGTGATAGACTGATATCTCAGATATGTGAGACGCTGGTCTCATTAAGGCTTTGACCGGGATGTTCTTTTGTTAAATCTTATGTGGTACCGCCTGATTCGACTTCTAATGGTTAAGTGAAGTGTTTTCTTAGCGGTACGGACTGGATTCGTAAATATTATTAAGACGAGCTTCGGCTTCAAAGGGTTAACCAGCTGATTTTCGTAATGATGAGGTGAAGTGTTTTCTTCGCGGTACGGACTGGATTCGTAAATATTATGAAGACGAGCTTCGGCTTCAAAGGGTTAAGATACAAGTTGCGATTGAAATATATCTTGCTGTGGCGATCTGAACGAAGGTCACAAATGTATTTTTGGTATAGCGATTTTGTTCCTGCAGAAAATGAGCACAATATACGCAGAATCTAGAGAAATAAATAAGAAAATTCCTGGTTTGGATTGAAGTACGAAGCTTTCCACACTTTTACTTCTGTATATTTTTCGATCACATCATTACGCAGGGAGGTCCCCTTGTCAGGACAGCCAGCTAACCTAGTAATCATCAGCTTCGCCTGCAGACTAGGACATAGGCCACACACAAGTCTCCGTTGCGTTGTCATCATTAGCTGCACTAAGAGGATGCCTTGTCGCGTGTGTTGGGATAGTATTAGCCCGATTCTTATAAACGCAGCTAACCCCTTATACAGCCACAAAGCGAAGCCGATGAAAACTGAGATGGGTAACCAGCAACAGAATAGATAAACCACGATCGAAGTCCGTACTTATGTGCCACCCGGCCACAGAAACGACACGACCGCGTTCATCAGGAAATGGGATTGTGACGGCTTCAAGTCCGCACCCCCAGCTTAAAAATAAACCGACTCGGACTTAATATCATGGCACTGGCCACTGTTCCACGCTTTTAATTGTAACCAACTAAATAACTTGTTGAGAACGAACCTTGCAGTAGCTAATCTGATCTAGTAATTTAATCGCTTGTCTGGAAATCGCGTGTTCATCGCAAGCACTAATCACCCCCAGTGTCTGGTCTCCATTTATTTATTTGTGACAGGCCAAAGTTCATTGCTAGTATACGTCCTGGGTAACAGGTTTCTCAAAGTCTGATTTAGTATTTAGTTTAAAATTATATTATGAGAAGCTTCACAATTTATAATCTTATTACGGCGTTAAAATCAGGAAGGAAGAGAAAATGGAAATGAACACGAAATTTTTAGTCGGGAAATCTGAAGGGAAGAAACCGCTCCGAAAACCGATGGTCGGCTGACCTTGTAGAAACAGGGCACGAGGTTGTGGAATGTCTTCGAGATTTTGTGATTACGGTCATGAGCCCTCGGCTTTCACAGAAGCAGGAGAAGTACTGACGGACAGAACGCGCTATTGGTCGCTGTTTGTTGGCGAACTTCAGGTCCGATGACGCACAACCTAAGCCGTTAACTTCAGTAAATTAATGCAGCTATTTGGAGATTCCGGGGTCTGTCGAACTGTCAGGAAACAAAAAAATAATCTGGAGCAAGGTCGGTAGCACAGCGAAACAGCTGAAGGCCGCAGCAAACCTGCTGTTCTCCCCCCTTCACACGCTTGTAAGCTACCTGTCCACAGAGCAGAGTCTTTCTTGAGAAGCTGACAGTCGCTTTGCACCAATGCGTGTAGAACAATTCATAAGCACTGGGAAGAATATGGAACGTCCCGCAACCTGCGTAGAATTCGCAGCCACCGATCGCTGCCATTTTATATCGATATATATCGATATATGGCAAAACGCACTGAAGTCTCTTGGCCACGTGACACAGCTGCAGCCCTGCGCCCATCAGGTTTAATTTCGTCATCGGTTTTAAAAGACAAATTAATATCTGTGTTCTTAACTCGGGGTCGTTCCGTGTCTTTCTGATATTTTGATGACCTGATTCATTGCATGGATATTACGTTGGATACACACGACGTTTCGGGAGTTAGTTGTACTCCCATATTCTATAACTATAGTATTTTATCTCTGAGGTTATACGTAAGCATTTCTGTGCAGACAATACTCGTAATCAGTTCATTAGTTCTAATATTATTGCGACACTACGATGGACTACAGAGCCAATAGTGCGAGATCCAAACATATTTTGATGCGCCAATTTATTTCCGATTGCCAGGCACTTTTGTGCCATTTCCTGGTTGCCATGTCAACAACTGCCCTGATGCGGTTGCCATGGTGACAGCTGCTCGTGACCAAACCATTAGCGCTTTATTGTAGAAAGAGATTCACTTTTGGTTACCAAATTTGGTGATGAAACTTCTGGTTGTCTAAGTCATCTTGTTACTTACTTACCATGGCAACGCAGAGTAAGATGAATTTAGGTCACTTCGTTACAAAACTTACAACAGAATTACACACAATACAGGAACATGACAGAGTGGACGATAACACAGTTCTGTTGTATCTGTTACAGCGGCCTTTTTCTACGCTGGCAATTCGAAATCCCCGAGTGCATCTGGATTCAGGATACACGACGAGAACGGATCGTAAGTACACCGACCGTCTGCATGATACATAATGTTCACTGAAAAACTGAATTTTGTTCTCCTGGCTAAGAAACTCTACGTTTATGACACGCAAAATTTAATTTCTGTGTTCGTGAAAGGACGCCAATTTAATCCAGTCCTTATTCTACTACGAACAATTTTAATGATGTCCTCCCACCTACGCCCATGTATCTCATACGCCCCTCCTGAAGTTTCAAGGTCATGCGGCAACTATTCAAAGTCTCTCTTGTAAGGCATGAAAAATTCTAAATACGAAAATGGCCTCAGTTTTAACAAGTCACATCCTGTAAAATGCCGATCAAATTCCCTGCAGAATACTTGTCAGCAACTGTCTGTACTTTCCGTACCATGCGATGTGCCGATCCCCCAACGAAGGAGATCCACCGTCTATCTGGCAAAATGCCATGTTGTCAGCTAAAACGCGGAGAACGTTCAGTGTCCAGCTGCGAGGTCAGGAGTGAGAAGTCGTGGGCCCGCCCATATCTGCTGTCGCGTTCCTCGTGCGCGGGGAATTTTCTGGATTGCATCGTTGCAAAAATGACCTTCGGCTGCCCTGATGACGTAATCGTCCGTGGTGTGGTGTGGAGGACGCCTTTCCAATTTTGCAATAATTCACCTCACTGAGAAAACCTTTCTGCAGAAGTTCCAGACCTTGGACGGCGTGTTGTACAAATTTCTTGTTTGCTGTCCCAGTTTCAGGAGCTTGATAAACTTTCATTTCAGTTTCACGTAAAGTCGTATAGGACAAGCCAGAACTGAATTCGTTTCATGCGTGAACACACTAGAAGCAGGGACAGAAATTTGGATGCGGTCTAAACGACTCCTATCAGAGTAGGACCTCTCCTTTTTGCCACAGAGTCCAGACCGGGCCTGAGGCTCACCCTATAGGAGGGGTGCAAAGCTAACCATTCACCTCCAACGAGTGCTGATGTTAAGAATGCGTGGAGCTGTACCCTTACTCCTCCATACGTCTCAATGACGAACTGCTTATTTAAACGCCAGGGACAACTTTAACTTTGCATAAAAGAAAAATATTATCATTTTAATAGAAATCCTTTCAGTGGTTTGTTAAATATGCCAAAAAATAATAAATAATCCATATCTTACATGCAAATTGTAAAATAACACTGAAACTTTCTTTGGGTGGAATTTTGGGCAAATCTTTTCTACGCCGTCAAATGTTGACTATTCTTTCCCACAGAGTATCCCAACGTAAAGCAACAAAACCTTGTTCAGCCTACGTCAACGGAAACTAACCTAACCCAACCTAACCTTTCCTAACCTAACCTAACCTAACCCAACTTTTCCTAACCTAACCTAACCTAACCCAACCTACCCCAACGTAACTGATGTAAATATTCTGCTCGAGCTGTTGTCAAATTGAACTAAAAATGGAAATTGCACGAATAATTTGTGCTTTTGGCTAGCACGTTAGAAGAAGAAGAAGAAGAAGAAGACAGTTGCGCTCATAGACTTCAGTTCATGAAGGCAAGCAAATGTTACAGAATTGTGTTTTGTTTCTTGTCTCTTTAGGCCACGTCGTCTGGGGCGGTACCTGAAGAAACACGTGACAATAACCCTTCCGGACAGCAAGACGCTGCACAACATCAAATGGCTTTCGGTCTGGTGCGACGAATTTTCGGTGAGTTGCCCGATCGGCGAGACGCGGCACTCCGAAGCACAAAAGATGCGTTTCAGTGGTCCGTGGCTGGTTCGGATACCCGGCATGCATGAGTGTTTATTCGTAAACGATACAATGGAAATGTTGGAGATGTCACATAAAGGGATCGCATGTGGATGTCCGGCAAAACTTCCACATTTATAAAGCCGCAAAACTGAACCTTTTTTGTCAATCTCTGTTTACTGTTCGGTTTAGGTATCGAAATTTAAACCTGAAGAAATAAACGGGAAAAGTATTATTTAATTCTTCTCGGGCCACCCGCCGTGTCAGGTGGTTGAATGGGGAAAACACCAACGTTTCGAGAACCATCTTCGACCTCGTTCTCAGGGTACTGAAGAATTCGTGATTCTTAGTCGCCGTGGAAGCTCCAGATCATAGAACGAGTGTTGGCCACACTGACACTTAATTTAACTGTATCAAAGCAGAACCTTGGACCAGTCAGTGACCTGCATCACGTCGTCCTGTTAGAATCGGTTTGTCCTGCGAAAGAACGAATGCAAAGCCGTAGCCAGCGAGGACGAAGTGACGACTCAAGAAGAGGAACGAGTGAAAGGGAGGAAGGAACAGTCCATCAGCTTTAAAACACTCGGTTTTATCAATTTTAGTAAATTATGACAAGTTATTTGACGTACTGAAATATCAGAACTCTTTAAATTATTAATGTTATCAAAATGAGACTTTGTAGGGGTGATAGGAAGTCAATTCAAATGTAGCATTTTGGAGTAAAACACTGATGATGATCTGATAAATGCCGAAACGCGTGTTTACATCAGCTATAACAAGTAACATTATTTTAAATATGTGTATAATAATAGCTGGCCAGCGACAAACCAAGCCAGGCCATCAGAAGATGGCCTGTTCTTGGTGTGACTTACGTTGTTCTTCCACTATTTGAAAATTCCTTTCGCAGGTCAATTTCGGAGATGTTAAGATCCCGAAGAACCTGGACTACCCCAGACCCCAGAAGATCAACCAGCTGAACGGCGTGCACCTTGTGTCGTCCGACCCCATCGTCGTGGTGGACGCACAGACCCTGCTCATACCAAACTTCTCTTACGACGGCGAGGCGCCCGGTAAGGGACTTCACTGCACTGTCCGCTGCATGTTTCGTGTGGGATTAGAAAGGAAACAACTAGCAACATGCTCGGGATGCGAATTCCCTACCGGAATGCACAGAATATTCCCCTATGTTCCTTGCAACGTGCATTTGGAGGTATTTCATCCGGCTTGTACCGCGAAATAAATTTGTCGGGCACTTTAAAGGTCACAATTTTCAAATATTCAGTACTAACTTAACCTAACCTAACCCCACAAAACCTAGCCTGAAATAACCCAAAAACATTATTCGAGTTTCATAATTTTCAAATTTTATATTTATCAAGATTTAAAAAATCTTGTTACTAAAAATTTCTCAAAATTCCAAATTTGCAACAACCTAAAAATTTTCAAATCTTATAAATATTCAAAATATGTAAAACGAAACCCACTATTTTAAAGTTTTAAATTTTTCAAAATGTAAAAACAAATTTCCCATGCCTAAAAGTTTAAATATGACTTTTAATGCTCGAATTTCTAAAATGGAAAAAAATAAATGTTAATTCTGGATTCTGAAATTTCTAAAATTGTCGAAATTTGTAAAATTTTGAGCGTTTACAAATTTTGAATATTTATTCATTTTTCAAAGTTCAAAATCTGTAAATTTATTTCGCGGGATAAGGCGAATGTAATACCTACAAATGCACGTTGCAAACAACTCATGAGGATCTAGTAATCTGTATTCAGGTAGTGAGCACACTTTCGGAGCTAGGCAGAATCTGCTCTGATGCGATGAGCACGAGACAGCCTTGGAAGACAGTTTAATGGTCCATTTAACGACGCTGTCACAACGAGCGAGCCAACTGCTATTAAACTTGGCTGATTGGGAGTTCATGTCTAAGGCTCTGTGTCTCGCTAGCTGCAAGTTTGACTTGTATAAGCATCCGTTTAAGCGCGCGCGTAATGAGGAGGTCCGTCAAGACTGTCGAAATTTGGTACTGCAACGATACTAGGAAAATTCCGTTGCGATTCATATTGTGTCCAAGCTAAAATCTGCTTTATCGGCTTTATGTAAGATGGCCCACAGCAGAGCAACTTCACTGGTGAAGTATGTTTGGATGTATTGCTCACTGTGTAGTGTGGCCAGCGAACACGACGTGGATGCGGTACGCCACAAAGCTAAGATATGCGATAAACTGGAATTGATTTTCTTGGGCGTGAGGCTTGAAACGAGCGAGTTCTGTTTCAGATGCAAAGTTCTGGGTGGGGCGAGGCGGCAGACCGAGCCCACAAGGCGTCAGGGTACCCGACGAGAACGGGAAGGAGGTTCCTCTGCGACGGTACGACGGCAAGACTATCGTCCTCACCCTGCCAGGAGACCTCACAGTGTTTGACATCGGCCACTTCGGCGTGTGGTGCGAAGCCTTCACCGTCGACTTCGGCCACATCACCATCCCAGCTGGTCTGAACGTCCCGCCGTCGCTCAAGATGCTAGGCGTCGCTCCACAGGTAAGCAGTGCACGCGACTTGCACTTACATGTATTCATTCAGTCAGGCAGACGCAGATTTTGGATCACTTCCGTCATCGTAAAGGTCAGAACACGCACAAACAATCAAACGACGTTTCGGAGACTGCCTCCTTAATCAGGAGCGGATAGGATGAATGCCGACAGACAGGTCGATACAAGCGTACGCAAAGTGGCCGACACGAGGGAATGAGGGTGGCGCGAACAGCGACGCTGCCCTCGCCAATCACGTCGACTTGTGTCACGCTTCGGCGTCTTTACCCAGCGTCTGTCTGACCTGCCTGTGCAGAACATGGAGCCCAGGACGTTCGTCCTCCACTTTTCAATACACCAGCAGTAAATTTGACGCCGAATGCCGACGATTTGCGTCATGTGATCACGACGCCGACACAATATTAGCATGCAACACGAACAATCTTGACCGAACAAGTGACTGGAGCTGATTTGTTCGTGATGGCACGTGACTAGATGCGCAGATGCGGCGAGTGATCTCGGGCGGTGGTCGCCCATTCCACCATCGCTCACAATGCGGAATAAAGTACAGGTAGGTTTGAACCCTGACGTGGTCGATCGATCCGTCAAAGAATTATTTGCCCGGAAAGCGCCTCCTTTGTGCCCCGATTCCACAAGCTTCATTATTAATGCTAAAGTCTCTCCGATTTGAATTTATTTCCCAAACGCAAATGCCACACCCTTCAACAACAAAGGTAAAAAAAAAAAAAAATGGAGTACTTATCAGTTACATCATCCTCCAAACATATACAAACGTCGACGTATCCAAGGCTTAACTGTGAAACAAAGAGTACGTATGCCCATAAATTACAATTCAGTGTTCGGAAAAATCACTTGTTCCCTTCTCTCAGCGAATGAATACGCTATTTTCTGGGGTGCTTCATGTGCCGTTCTTATTCTTCTGATGCAGCCTGTAATCAAATATTCTCACTACATTACAAATTAAATGCCAAAAGTAATGAGGTTTACCGAATACAACCAGAAACCACGATGAATCGATAGTATCTGCAGGCGAGTTTGAAAAATTCTTCCATATAGGCTACCAGTCAATCTCCCCTACAGCGCTGGCTGCATTTGCATGAATCGGTTCACATTCAACAGTGCCCTTTCATGCCGTGGATCATCTACACAATGTTTATAGCGCGCGGTACAAAAATGTTACTCTTCCTTTTAAAGTATCTATAACTTTATTTTTATTTCGTCTAATTAAAAATAAAAATATGATTACTGTAAAGTTATATTTTCAAAACCAACACATAATCATTCGTTCAGTGGTCCTTATGTTGGATAGTAATATTTTATATCACGTCTTCTGCGTAAAATGTGTAATACGATCGTGAACCACGTTAATTTCCGAAAGTAATTAACGAATTTCGATTAAACTTCGTTTTCCGGGGCCTACATTAAAAATTAAACATGTATAAAAGTATCGATCATTCCTCCACTTTAAATTTTTCTATTCGGTAATCCCGTCAGGCACGAAGGCTCGGTCCGGAGTGGAGTTCTTCAGGCGAACTCGTTATCAACTCACCGCCCTGCCAATAAATCAAACGGTGACGGACAGGCATTCATCAACGCTGCTTATCGCCAAGCGAGAACCAGGCCACTTATCAGGAATTAAGCACACAAGCTTCACAATTTAGTGCGAATAATTCCTTGCAGGATTAGTGCAACGAAAAACATTTTAAATTCCCTGAAAACAAAATGAAAAGTTCTGAGCTGCACAAACGTTGAAGCTCTTACGACAGCAATTAAACCACAAGTACAGCCCAGACAAAAAAGTATTGGTATGCGTTCAGGATCATAATTTCCTGTTCCTGTTCATCGTCGCATTTCAGTTCCTACAGACTTCGTGGGTTATTCGAATAATCTTTCTTTAATAGATCTCCCCCCCCAAGGGGGGGGGGGGGGGGGGGGTCAGTGTAGGTAAAGGGCCAGGCCCAAAAATGCGTTCGCCAAAGAAGTTTGCGGGAAAGCAATTATTTCCTCCGGGTGTGACCGTCGTCCGATCACGTTGAATCCAGCTGGCCTTCCTCACCTGTCAACATAATTTTCCGTGTTGAACGCTTCCTGTGTCCCGAAATGTTGTTACCAGTTGGTTCATCGTTGTTTTATTCGGTACTTCCTGCAAAGAGCCTCGGGCGACACCGGTGTTCGCTTGGAAATGACGAGGGAAGACACGACTTCGAAAGCAGTACATCCGAAATGCAAGGCGGGAGTTAGCAACCACCGGCTCGTAAATTCTAGTTACATTTACGTAATAATTTACAACGGGTGGAAACGTGGCTCGTTTCCGTTCTTTCTGTACCAGCGGTCTGTGCCAGAAATCCCTATTCTCCTCCGGCCGGCCGACATTGGCTTGGTCACCGCGTCTCTCCGGAAGAATCCATCTCGCGTTCAAAGTACTTCGCGTGGCTTCGTGACAAAATTCTGTTCTTCGTAATTACAGCTCCACTTCCGTTTTATTACCATTTTCATCTGTTGTTATTCGCATAAGAATGTCCAGGCGTGCCACCAGATCATGGAGGATGAGATGGCCGGGCGTGTAGTACGCATGGTGAAGACAAATACGTGCACAATTTTGGTAGGGAATTCAGAAAGGTTACTGCTCGGAAGACATGATATTGTGGGAGTGCGTGGTCGGATGTGGTCTTGGTGCATCTGGCTCAGAACAGGGGCCAGTGGTAGTTCTTGTGAACACAGTAACGCAACTTCGATTAGCTGTTCGACTATCGACTTGCTAAATTAAAAGTGAATATCTAACGGCGGCTAAACGTTTACTTTTATACAAAGTTCCTAATCGTGTCAATTCTGTAGGCTATAAAATGTTGACCATTTTGCATCAAACTTGCACCTGACAGATTAGTTACGAAAAACAGGAAAACTTATGATAAATTATGAAGATTACCGAAAATATAAAATTAACTGTTTTCAGGGGCATTTTACGAATTTAAATCTGGAATGCTGTGCGGCAGAAATTGGAATAGACGTAGGCGTAGATGGGAAGATAATATTAAAATTGATGATAAACAATTATGTTTAAAAGATGTAAAATTATTGATGTGGCTCAGGATATGAACAGCTGGCCGGCTCTTTTGGTCATGGCAATGAACCTTCGGGTTTAATAAAAGAAACTGCTTGGCCAGCTGAACACACATCAGCTTCTCAAGAAGGACTCATCCTTATTATCTTCCGCGCATGGCTTAATGAGTTGCTTATAGTAAAACGCTGTATTATTCCAATGTAAATTTAGCGTGTGACACAGAAGGAATATTTCAATAAAATATACAGTACAAAATGACAAAAAATTATGCAACAAGCCAGTCAGCGGGCAAACGACACTCGTCACAAACAAAGAAGTTTCTCGTAAAAGATTAAAAATTAACCGAACCATGGTTAGTACTCTTGGCACTTCCTAAAAGTGAGTAATTTATATCAACACGAAGAGAAGTTCCTATCACTCTCCAGCAAAATTTGTGATTCCTGACTCACTTTTCTGAAATTATCCATTAAATTAAAAATTCCTTCACGTGGACATAGCACTTGTTTCTAGAGCCAAAGTATTACAGACATTTCATGCCACTAGAGACTGATGATTCTAGGATTATTTGCAAATCAAGTCCATAAGGTTCTTTCTAGGCGGTACGTATTTTTGTTTCGTCCTATTGGTCAGATGCCTCGCAATACTATTTATTACAGGCAGGTGTCAGCTGTGTATCGAGACCGCTTCCTGCCCGCGGAACACGAGAATATTCGATACACTATAGAAACAGTATACATGCAAAAGCGAGTTAAGTGACGACTGGGAGAATGCAGGGAAATTTCCGTCGTTTTGAACGAACAAGGCCTTGAACCGTACGTGCATACAGCTAACTTCTTTTAAAAAATGAACTTCTGTCTCCTAAACTTTTCCAGGGCAAGGAAAACCACACACGAACGCTCATTTCGATCGATTAGTGCTTAGTCAAGTGCGTACGACTTATAATGGAAGATCATACGCTAAGATGTTAACAAAAATAAGTCTTTTAAGTTAAGGACTTTCGTGACGTCACAGCACGTTACGAATTCTGCCCTCTGCGGAACAAACGACGTGAGACTATGGTATTTACAAACCAGGAAAAAGCATCACAGAGCAGAACAAACGACGCCTTTATGCCGCGTCTCATTAGCGTCACTGTTGTCATAGAAACTAACACGCTTTGTAATTATTCAGTAAGTAACACATCACATATACGCGATGCATTAACAAAACCTTAAGAACTAAACGCACATTAACTTAACCCAGATATATTAGCAGCATTTCTTTTGCGCCATTAAGGCAGTGTCCGGCAATTAAGAAGGGTAATTTCCTTCGCGAGACATGAAATGGACTCTTTTGGCTGTAGAACGTCGGGCTGGAACAAGTGACTGCGTATTACGCGGCTTGGTCTTTGTTTAATGTAGCGTAGAATTACTGATAAGGAAAGGACATGAAGTCGGTGGGTGCATAATTTCAGGAGCTATGCCGGCATTTTCCTGAGGCGACTGACGAAGATCGATTCGTCAATTACAATTTAAAAAAATTAAATTAATCGCAAAGGACTTCGATGGACATTTCTCACACGTACGTGGGTTTATCGTAAATAGTTAAGTCCCTTTATAACATTTTCTGTTGTACAAATAATTACCACCAGATTCTGGGACAGAAAAGAAGTTGCTGTTGAAATATTCGTCATATAAACTTATTCTATTGGCATACTCAAAATTACGTGACACGTCACGACATGAATTATGAGAGTCTTCTCGGTCAGAATATGCCTCCGTTGTCCAGCTTCGTTTATTGCAAGGTCTCTGCTGAGTGATCGCATATTAAACGACTGTCAACCAACGAGTTAACTGTAACACGCTGAAAGATACAACCTAAGTCTCCTATCAATTATTTATTTTAATCCGTCAGATCACAATATAATTTTATTTCGGGACACTCACTCC